TTAACAGGTGGGCGTACTGTAGCCCACTACTATGCTACCAGGACTTCTTAGAGCAGCGGTTCTCAACATGGGAGTCGAACAACCCTTTCACAGGGGTCGCCCGATTCATAACAGTAACAAAATTAGTTATGAAGTAGCAATGAAAATAATTTTATGGTTGGGGGTCACCACAACATGAGGAACTATATGAAAGGGTCGCTGCATTAGGAAGGCTGAGAACCACTGCTCTATCTACATTCCGTTCTGTATTAGGCCGGGTTGACTAGAGAAACAAATCCAATAACACTCATCTATGTGTAAGAAAGATCTCTATATCAACAAGTTATTATGTATTGAGAAAACATCCCAGCCCAGTCCAACTCAAGTCCACAAGTCCCATACCAGTCCATCGGTCCCTCTTCAGATTCATGCAGCCACATGCAATGATGCAGCACGCAGGTCGGGGGTGCAAAGTCATGCAGATCCACCGGCAGTGGCTCTGGCAACAATCGGGGTCAGATAGCCAGAAGGGGCAGGTAGAGAGAGGTGAGGTTCCCAGGGCCCTCCTTCTTGCCTAACCCTTCTCAGCATTGTCCTTGGGGAAATGTTGCCCTTTTGATTTTAAATGGTTGATTATGCTAAGGTGTGCTACAGGCATTTTTAATGTTCACCCAAGCAGAACCTCAGGTGCGCTAATTTAAAGAGGAGCAAAGGATCACCATCAGGCTAAGATCTGATTCCTGTAAGGTAGAGGTAAGGCTTACCTTCATTCTGCAATCTTTTCACCAATGTTGACACCTACTACACTCTTTTCTTTTAGGTTGGATGATTCCTTGCCATAGCCACACAAAATTCACTGACCATCACCCTTTGGTGTTTTTTTAAGTAACAAGGTACTTGGCATCAGGTTCAACTCAAGATCAGGGTCAGAAAGCATGTGGGAAAAATCTAGGATACCCTAAAAAGAAGGGCACACCCCTCCTTTCTGCACTTCAGAATGGCACTCTCAGCTCCTCTGCTGTTGCAGCTAGCTGACAATTCCCTGTGTGAGCACTCTCTCTCAGCAGTGCAAGCCTCATGAGAGGCCTCTCCCAGTCCCCTCAGGTTGGCAAGCCCCTGCAATATGATTTTCCTACTGTTTGCCACCCCCTTCTGCTACCACCCAACTGATAGCCTAGAAGCTTTGTGCAGCTCTCTTAGCTGCATTCTTAACAGCAGGTTTCTTCCGAGTCTACTGCCATTTTCTGGGTTACAGCTTTTGACCCACGTTTCAGGCCTTACAGCAGATCCCTCACCACCTCTCTCTTGCCTTTACGCTTTCCTTCTGAAACTTCTGACAAATTCCAATGTCAAGCC